CCAGGTTTGAATTAGGGAAGGATTTAATTTAAGGTGAATATTTGCCATTATCTGTCTATATCTATTCAGTTAAAGATGAGGGAACATCATCAACAGTAGTTATTTTCACAGAAAAGGTTGTCACAATGCCAGATTTGCTTTGGGTCATGTGTTCTGTTTGGCGGCAAAGAGTACGTGCTGTATAAAGACTCCTTTAAGGACTAGAACATTTTATTCTCATAGATATAAAAGGAATTCTTTTATGAGGCCACGCAACAGTTATACATAATAGCGTGCCAGTGAGGTTCTGGCTGTACTGTTTGCCATGAAGTAAAAATGATATTCATCAGGGATGTGGTACAGGTGTACAGGCAGGCTTCTGTGCCTTACTCTGTATTCCCTAGAAAGTGGTTTGGCAATAAATCCATTAAATCTCTTAACAAATGTTCTGTGATTTACCTGGAACAGAACCAAGGAGCAGGATGCAAATGGAAAAGGCGAAGGCAAAAATAATATCATTCTGACGACAACAGGGAATACATGAAGAAGAATCTTGCATGAATTTCTATTAGGACTAATCCTGTGGTTCAACAGAAATACTGCCCTGACCTTTAACTGCAGCAATAATCATCTGCAACAGTAAACAGCCTGCAGCTTGCAGTGCCATATACAATATACCACTGTGAGCACAGAATGGATGAGAACACCACTGCAGGGAAAGTATTATAGGGCCCTAGAAACATTTTACTATCAACCTCATTTATCTTTTTCTATAGGTCCTGGCACCAAAAACATTGTGCCCCTGACGTATCTGCACATATTACACTTACATGTAAGTGTTCATTCATCATCAGATTTGCTTGCCTAGTCTGATGTCAGACAGCCATTATTAAAAATATCTTCATACAGGCATACTCATGGTTGAATGTGACAGATTACTGCTTGTTAGGAATACATAACTAGGAAGTTTGCAGTATAAGGGGTAGTATGTGTTACTGGCAATACTAAAGAATGTGTTACATTGAAACCCACTGATCACTGAAGTTATTTTAATCAATGATGTTACATAGTTAATAATAAAAATGTGAAAAATATACAAATCACAAATAGCGCAAACCAAATCATACAACTAAATATAACCACCACCAAATAAGTGCATATTAATAGTGCGAACAAAAAATCAATAAATAGGGAATCTCAATATAGTCCATTCAGAAAAGTCCATATAAACATGGTCCTCAGTAAATGAAGTAATGAGATCCTCCTTCATAAGCAATGTGGTATTCAGTGCTCAAAAACACCCCATCAAAATGCACACTCACCATGTGCTAGTAATTAACCAGCATGTCAGTATATATCCAGCATTCACCAAACAGACTTCAAAGGACGATCCTCGTGTTGGTAATTACTCAGCATACTACTATGGTGTCCGTTTATGACACAGAGAATAGCTGCGATTCAACGGATCTCAGCTATTCTCTGGTCATTCACAGTTTATGACACTCAGGAGATCATGTCAGCCCTTCACTGGAGATCTGTGTTCTCCCTCCAGATTCTCCAGCCCAGAGCTGGAGAATCAGAGGGACCGCAAACTAAGCAGAGATAATTTACCTCTGTTTAGTAAACTGATCTTTTACTGTAATCTCGCGAGATTATAGTAAAATCAGCCGTTTTCCAGAGTTTGTAGACCGTTCTCCAGCGTTTGGAGACCGTTCTCCCCTTCGTTCAGAGAACTGCTTCATAAACTGCATTCACAGGAGAACTGTGTTCTCCGAGAATGCCGGAGAACTGAGCAGCGATCTATTACCGCTGGTTCATAAATGGACACCTATGTATCCAGCATATCACCAAACAAACTCCAGAGAAGATCCTCTCATATCCAGATTAGCACATGTGGGTAAAGAAAATACTCGCCATAGTGCAGTATCATCCAACAAATTTATTGCCAAACAAACCCCCCTTAAAATCACACTCACAATGAGCAAATAAAAACAAGGCGTTTTGTTATATCAGAGCTCCAGTCTCCTCATCCTGTGTCTCACCAGCCAGCCCGCATTCAAGACGGTAATAGTTCGATCACGTGATCCGGACACGTGCATCAGCATGAGTAGTGACGTCACAGGAAGGCCACAGCTGACGCGTTTCGTCCAATGACTTCTTCCGAGGGAAATATTACATAGTTACATAGCAAGTCTGGATGAAAAAAGACAAAAGTCCATCCGTTCAACCATTAAAAAAAAAAAAAGTTATAATCCTATACCCACAATTGATCCAGAGGAAGGCAAAAAAAAAACCAGCGTGATCCAATTTGCTCCTGCTGGGGAAAATATTCCTTCCTGATCCTACGAGAGGCAATCCGATATTCCCTGGATCAACTTTACCTATAAATGTTAGTATCTGGGTATATTCTTTGTATCTAAGAAACAATCCAGGCCTTTTTTAAAGCAATCCACTGAGCTGGCCAGAACCAACACTTAAAGGAGTCTATTCCACATTTTCACAGCTCTTACTGTGAAGAAACCTTTCCGTGTTTGGAGATTAAATTTATTTTCCTCCAGACATAAAGAGTGCCCCCTTTTTCTCTGTGTTGACCTCAGGGTGAATAGCTGTACTCTGAGTTCACTATATGAACTACTGATGTATTTATACATGTTGATTATATAGAGAATAAACAGGTGGCGCACACACCTAGTGCATTATTCAAGGTTTATTGAAAGGAGTGAAAAATAAAAACATACTCACAGACAAAGCATGTATCTAAAAAGCATTTGCATAATGACGATTACCAAAAACGGCAAGCAAGGTGTTCCAACTGTCAGTGCGGTCAAATGGCTGACGCGTTTCGGGGACGAATCCCTTTCCTCAGAGCTACTGACCAGCCTCTGATGCAGATGTGTAGTGGATGGATGATGGGAGCCTTGCTGGTGATGTTGAATGTTGATTATATCCCCCCTTAATCTCCTCTTCTCAAGAGATAATACATTCTCTCTGAGTTTGTAAAACTGGCCATACACTGATAGATTTTTTGTTCAGGCTGAATGAGAGTCAGAGTCCTCCAACCATGCTATACAGTAGGCATGGATAAATCTGCAGTGGCAGTTATTAAATTCTGGCAGCCCGTGCCAACTAGCCATGTGCAATTTGTTTTGAATCAAAATCTGAACAAAACTTTAGTTATTCAGAGATTTGGATTTTCCAAATTTCCAAATCACAATAGTAATGAATTTCAACGAATCTGACAAATTATAACCCAAACGAATTATCCAAATTCAAAATTAATTTGAATTAAAAAATTAGTTTAAATTCGAAATGGAAACATATTCCAATAAATACAGTAAGATATAAAAGTGGAATAACATGATGATTCCTATTAAGCACTGGTTCACACTGATGCGGTGCAGAAATCGCAGGGTTTTCTGTGTGAATTCCACACCGCATCAGAATCGCACTCCGTTCATGTGAACCGCTACGGGTGTATATGTTAAGTTAACAACACCCCAAAAACGGTCCGCAAAATGTGGTGCGATGTGCAGAATTGGATCGCATAGGTATGGAAACCTATGCAATCCGATTCTAGTGCGGACCAAAAAAGGGTCCTGCACCATTTTAGTGTGAGTGCAGTGCAAAATGTATGGCTCCAATCGCACCGCACACGAATCGCATGTGATTTGAACAGGAATGTGTTACTGTTCCTGTGCGAATCACATGCAATATACCGCACCACATATATGTGAACCCAAGCTTAGGCTGCTGAACAGAATAGCATTAAACAGTATAGAAAATAAAGGAATAGAATAGCATAAAACATAAAATAAAAAGAATAGAATAGACTAGATTAGAATAACACAGAATAGAATAGGAAATAAAAGAATAAAATAGAAAAGAATAAAACAGAATAGAATAGAAAGTTTAAAACAAATTAGAATAGAATATAAAGGAACATAATAGAAAATAGAATAAATCAGAATAGAAATGAATAAAATAGATGGACCAGAATATACAAGAATAGAATAGATAAAAAAAGAATAGAATCAAATATAAAATATAGGAATACAGTAGAATAGAATAAAAAAGGAAAATTACAGAATATAATAGAGTAGAATAGAAAAAGAATACAATAAAATAGAATAGAAAAAAATACAACAGAACAAATATAGCCATCTTTCAAAATTTGAATTTATAAATAAAATAAAACATGTTTGAAAATAAAGAATATACGAAAGGAATTCAAATATATGAATTGTATTCCAAAAACGAATCATTCTAGCATAGCAAATATGTTGAAACAAAATAATTAACATAAGAAACAAATACAAAATTAAATGAAACTAATTATTCTGTTATGTACATGTCTAGCCCAAGCAGCTGCCAGAGTACCTAAACAGCAGTTGCATCTGACTGGATGCAGCCACTGTTCAGTCAATGATTTCCAGCTGTAGGATATTGGGTGGTAGGGTGCCAGCACGGCCATTCATAAAGCAAACTTCGGCCCATCAGGAAAACCCATCCGCATTATATAGTCTTAGCAATATAACTGAATTTCCTCTGTACATATCTACAAAGGTATGAATTGTTCATGTAACTTACAGAAGAAATGAACTCTGGGATCTATGCAAAAAAGACAAAAGAATGGGTAATTGGTGAATAATCAAACAGACCTACTGTAACTTGCAGTATACAAAACAGGGCAAAGTTAGAAGCAATAATGCAAAAGAGGTGCAGGATGGCAAAGAGCATGCATATACTGCAGAGCAGTTAAAGTGTTACTAAACCCAGGCCCCTGCATTCACTATATCTGGCCTCCCACAGTACACAAAACATGGAAATGCAATTATTTTAGTAAATATAAACTGCTAAATACCATTCTTTCATCAGCAGTATATAGCAGTCTTGTGACTTCTATCAGTGTTCAGCAGAGTACTGGTTAAAGCTTATAGGAGGAGTTTTCTTTCTGTTCTAGGAGGATGCAGAACCCCTGACCTTTGTCTGGACAGTGCTGCTTGGCCCTGTGCTGATCATATGCACTCTCCCAAGAAAAAAAAACCCTCCCTAGCAATACACACCAAACTGAGCATGTGTTGAGCGACTCCATACAATACCAGGAGATAAGAGGATGGGGTCACTGGAAGAAGGGAAGATCAGAGAAGTCAGGACCAAACAGCCTTTTTTTTTTTTTTTACACAATGCAGAGGATTAACCCCTTAGGTTCCACAGTGAGTATAACAAGCATGCTTTACTGCATATACAGACTGATTGTACTGTTGTGGGTTTAGTAACACTAAAAGCTGCACAAACATGGACACTTTACTGCAATGTCCTTGTTACTCAGGGTAACATATGGCTACATAACATAGTCTCTATAAGATTATAGTGTTATCCTATGTGTCAATGCACACTACTTTAAGCTATTAGCGTTTTTGGAGCTTCAGCGTCTAGGAGCAGAAAAAAAATAGTTTTTGTAGAGTTTTTTGGAATGTTTTTCCAGCAGAAAAAAAAGCTAAATGTTCCTAAACGCTACTAAAACGCTCCTATCAGCTTTTTTCTAGCTTTTCTTTCCCTCCACATGCATGTACTGTAAAAATGCTAATAAAACGCTGACACTCCAAAATGCTCCTAAATACTTCTGAACGCTACAAAAAAATTACCAGCATTTTTTTAAACTGGGGTTTTTTGCACTTAAAAAAAATACACTAGTATGCATGCAGCCTTAACCACTTCACGCCCGCCCTATAGCAGAACTACTGCTACAGGGTGGCAGGGCTGAGCAAAATCACATACAGGGGTAGACTGACCATTTGGAAACTCGAGCATTGCCCGAGGGCCCGGGGTCAGTAGGGGGCCCCATGAAATGCCCCTGGTACCTTTTTCATAGGCTTTTTTGAGTTTGGGTAAAGACACAGGGGCCCCATGATTCCCTATTGCCCGGGGGCCCCATGAGTTGTCAGTCCGCCCCTGATCACGTATATATACGTGATTTTGTATTTCGGGGTAGGGGCGCACACCGCCCTGCCTGCGCCGCCATTGGTGGCTACAGCTTTCGATCATAGGGTCCCGGACTGAGATTCCCTGCCGGCACCCAACGAGGAACAAAGACAGGGGAGAGATCTGAATTTAAACAATACAGATTTCTGCCCTGTCAGCACCAGCATGCTGCTTTGTATTGCTCTGCAGAGCAATACAAAGTAGCACGCTTATATACTAAAACACACACAGACAACAAAGTAAAAGAGCACACAGTTAACCCTTTGATCGCCCCAGATGTTAACCCCTTCCTGCCCAGTGTCATTAGTATAGTGTCAGTGCTTTTTATTATCACTGATCACTGTATTAGGCTAGGTTCACACCTATGCTATTGCTTATGAGGCATTTCTGCATTGCGTTTTTGCCACGTTTTTTTTTCTTGTTGATAGACAGATTGTAAACGCAAAACCCATCAAAAACGCAATACATGCTTTTGTGCCGCATTCTCATTGAAATCTATAGAACCAAAAAACACAAAGTTTCCCTCTTTCCAAAAAACTCACCGGGTGAAAACGCAGAGATGTGAACCTGTTTCATAGGAAATCATGTACTGTACTGCGTTTCTGCAAAACGCTGCAGAAAACGGTTAGGTGTGAACCTGGGGTTATTTGGGATGTCAGTGGCAGTTAGTTTGCCCCCCCCACCCCAGTGTCAGAATGCCTGCCGCAATCCCACTATAAGTCGCTGATCACTGCCATTACTAGTATTACTAGTAGTAAAAAAAAAAAATCTCAGTATACATACCACAATTTGTAGAATCTATAACTTTCATGTAAACCAATTAATTTACACGTATTGGGATTTCTTTTTAGCAAAGACATGTAGCAGAATACATTTTGGCCTAAATTTATGACGAAATTAGATTTTTTTAATTTTTATACTGGATATGTTCTATAGCAAAAAAGTTAAAAATGTTGGGTTTTTTTTCAAAATTGTTGGTCTTTTTCTGTTTATGGCGCAAAAAAACAAAAACAAAACAGAGGCCATCAAATACCACTGAAAGAAAGATCCATTTGTGGGAAAAAATGGAATAAATTTAATTTTGGTGCAGCATTGCATAACCACGCAATTGTCAAAGTAAGGCTGCACTGTATCGCAAAAAATGGTCAGGGGGGGGGGGTAAATCCTCTGGAGGGCAAGTGGTTAAACAGTTCAGAACACAAACAACTCTAGTTCTGGTACCACAGGTGTACAGCTGGAGGGATCAAAATCCTGAAGTACTCTGGTAGCAATTGGGATGGGGCTCCCCACAGTACCTGGGTCTTCTCGAGAAGCTGTGTGCTATTAGACTCTGGCCTGGCTGCCCACATGCTAATTCTGACAGTAGAGGGTCTCTCACCTGGCCACAGCTCAGTTGACCAACTACTTCTGCCCCATCGGGTCTGAGCTGTTGAATGAAGGAAGCAGAAAAACGTATTTTCCCTGGGCATGTCCAGGAACCCAGGAAGTCATTAGACAAGGAGTCAAAGGGGCCTGGGCCTCCATCTGAGTATGATAAGTAAATGGACACTGCTACAGCACCAGTATTGTCTATGATCTCTTGGAGGCTGATCTTTGCCCATTACTGACTTACTATGACTTGTTCTGCACTGTGCCTCTGTATGGAGTGGTAACCTTAGTGGCAAGGCTTTGCTCCCTCATGCCAGAACCTCCAGCAAGGTAAAGATAAACCAGTACAACACTGACCAAATCTCACTCCAAATCTTCTTATAGTAGGTCTCACACTGCAGATATGACATTGTGGGGGAGATTTACTAAACCTCCACTTTACTAGTCCCTCCACTGGCTCCCGATTGCCCAACGGATTAAATTCAAAATGCTAACACTGACGTACAAAGCTGTCCATAATATCGCCCCAAACTACATGACTAGTGCACCAGAGATAGGTTCATCCAGACCCCACTACACCACCATTACCCTTCCATATCAAGGGGTACTTACTATACTTACAGAAAACATAACACCAATTTTTTTGGCGTAAAATGGCCAACACGGCCTTTTATTAACAAATCAAATTTAAACACATCAACCATTCCTTATAACATAAACATAAAGAGTTGTCGTTGGTCTTTGAAGGCACCCCAAAAACGATCCGAAATGCACCTGCGGACAACCATATTACACTAGGCCTCCAGCCGCAACCAACCAGCTCGGAGACAACCATACCTTCCGCAGTGCAGCACCACCACCTTCCAGTTAAACCTTGGTTAACTGGAATGTTCCCGGGCACACCATACCAACGATGGGTCCCACACCATTTTTGTACCTCCAAGATAAGAACCGCCTCCAAAGACCAACCACCGCCCAGGAACCAAAATACCCCCCCCGGGGGGATTACACACTCACCAAACAGGGAGGGCGGGAGGGAAGCTCTCTCTCTCACGTCCAGCTCCGACTGACGCCCCTCACCAGTACCCCACCCTAAGGTGCAGAAGACCCCACCTACACTCTCACTCTACCAACCAGCTCCCCCAGCTATCCTTTACCAACCCCCTAAACTATCATTAACCCTTACACGTCCTCCTTCCCACTCTGGGCCTAGTCATGCCTGCCCTGCGCTAATTCTTTTCTTGTTTTCGCTGCGGGCATTTCTTCTCCGACCTAATATCCAAATACCACCCAAAACGCACTCTCCGCTCCTCACAAGACCTCCTTCTCTCTAGCTCCCTGGTCTCCTCCTCCCATGCTCTTCTCCAGGACTTCTCCAGGGTATCACCCATCCTCTGGAACTCCCTACCACAATCCATCAGACTATCACCTACTCTCCTCTCCTTTAGGCGCACCCTGAAAACCCACCTCTTCAGGGAAGCCTACCCCGCTCCCTGCTAACTGCCAATCTCCTCCTCTCTTCCCACCACTCCATCCCCCACAGCTATTTCCTCCTGTACCACTACCCCCTCCCTCCTAGATTGTAAGCTCGAAAGAGCAGGGCCCTCGAACCCCTCGTGTATCACACTGTATTAGTATTGTACTGTCTCATGTATTGTCTCCCATTGTAATGTACAGCGCTGAGCGAACTATTGGCGCTATATAAATACTGTATAATAATAATAAACCTGGAGCAGGTGTGCAGATGTGCATGGTAGCCAATCAGATTCAAACATCAGCTTCTTCAATTAAACTTCGATAATAAAACCTGGAAGCTGATTGGTTTCTATGCAAAGATGCACCAGATTTTGCACTCTCCAGTTTTAGTAAATACCCCCTGTATGCACAGGAGCAACTACACACAACCACAATATTTTTCAAGAGGAATTCAAGACATTTCCAGGGTACTCCTTAGACACAATTAACTTCTAGATTTTTTTTATGACATATAAAATCTTCACTTTTTGCGTTCAAGTTAACTTTAAAGCGGAGCTCCACCCAAAAGGGGAAGTTCTGCTTTAAGGACTGCTCCCCATTAAGGATTGGCACCTTTTGGGAGTGGGGGGGGAGCGGGTACCCAAATTTGACAGGTACCCGCTTCCACTTCCGATCCGATCGCCTAAACGATCAGAAGCGGAAGGTGTCCTCCCTCCCTCCCTCCTTGTAGTCTTTTGGGAGACGTGACAGGTCCCAGAGGACTACAGGACCATTTACGAAGCATAGCGCTACTTAAGCATGCGCAGTGGGTACCCGGCTGTGAAGCCGCAAGCTGTCACAGCCGGGTGCCCACACTGAAGATGCCGGCCTTCTGGAATACAGGACGACCGGTGAAACGGGGTGCGGGGGACACACCCCGGGACCGAGGGACAGGTAAGTGGCTGTTTATTAAAAGTCAGCAGCTACAGTTTTTGTAGCTGTTGACTTTTTATTTTTTGACAGCGTGAGTGGAACTCCGCTTTAAGGACTGGACTGGGAAACACTACAATAGGCAAATATAACCACCTCTGTATTGTTTCAGTGGATTGAAAGCTGACTTGAGAAATAGAAATACTGAGGCTGCCATTGCTAACCTTCTGAAAACACCTTTCTGACTTTGTTTTTTTTGAGACAATGGCCTGGAACAAGAATGCAGATCAGAAAGTCTGAACTGCTAATCTGCATACACATTCCGGATCAGTGACTCAGAAATACTAAAGTAACTGGGTTGCCACGATAGCCAGGAAACTAGCATTTTCAGGAGAGGAGCATTCAGCTACTACAGCCTCCATAATCCCTCAAGACAAATTTTCTTCAATGCACTTGTTGTAGAACAGCCAGTGACAAATGTAGGAATTTATGAGAATTGGTACAG